TGCATGAATTTAATCGAGCTACCAGTCTGGCATCTCGGTCCCACCCTTTCACTGTCGAAACGGTTAAATGTAACCGTCTCATCTACTCAAACAGCACTTCCCGTCTGTGGAGCTCCTTTCCTTTTAGTTGCTTCCCCGATGACTATAATCTTCAAATATTCAAGTGTAATGTCAATCGACATCTGACACCCTGCGCGTGTCCCCCGTCCTTCTCTGTATCCTTTCCTCAAACATTCCTGTGTAACCCCTTGCGTGCTCGTGGCACTCACGCCTTTCTTGGAGTGAATTGCTTAAAAAAAAAAGAAAAAAAAAAGAAAGAAAAAAGATGTGGACAATAGTTCGCATGTGAATAAAATAAATACCGTAATTCCCCAGGAATAATACGCCTTCATCTATAATACGCACCCCTATGATTGTGTTGAATATGTGGGATGTATAATACGTACCCCTTTTTTGGTAATCAAACCCTATAAATTGTACCCATCTTATTTTATTACGAACAGCGTTTCCTACTCTTATTAAAAAATGATTTTAAACATAGAATAATATTATTCTAATTTAGTTTTATGATAATTCTTATTTTACTCTACATTTATAAGTGTTGTTAGGTACATATGATTATATTTGATATCCTTATGGGGTCACAATCGCTGAATGTTAGTGTCAAATTGTCATATGTTTGTGCTGAGTTGTCATTTCGCAACTGAAACCGACCTATGAAACGGTTATGTTTTTAAATTTTTTGTAGCAGTGCATAATACGCACCCCTAATTTTGCCTATTATTTTCTTTAGAAAAAAATGCGTATTGTACATGGGGAATTACGGTAGTGCATGAAAGTTTTAACGTATTTGTTTAACATTGCCTCATCATTTTATTACGCTCTATATTAACAGTTATTTTACGGCGTAAAATCTCTGGGAAATTGACCAATCCGCTTGAAATTTTTTTTACACTCCATAATGGTGTCAGATTGGCCTAACAATGAAGATGTCTCTTGCTTTCAATCCTGGCTCAAATGACTGTGATTGAATCAAAGCAATGCTAAATTCGAACAGAGGTATACATTCCAAGCATCAAGTAGAATTAGGAAACCCATTTCTGCCCAAGAATATTGATCTAATGATTCCGACATGTCAATCCTAAAATATCGACATGACACATCAAATGTGCATTAACAGTTCAACTGTACTATGACAACCTGTAGAGATTGTCAAAGACTCGAAAGATTAGCGGTTGGTGGTGGTCCTCAGAGAAGCCAGTTAGATAATCTTTCACTACAACACTCGGTGAAAATTTCCAGAAAGGAAAACGGTAAGAAAGAAACGGTTTCGACATATCATATATAATTTACGTCATGCAAAGCATTACACAATAAAGATTGTATATATTACTATTGAACTATTTGAGGCTTGTTCCGAATCCGTCGAGGTATTTTGACGATCTTTTGATGTAAGTTGTTGAACTGACAGAGTGAATATCATTACATGTACGTGGACAGACACTCTTCCGTGAGGTTACTCAATCACACACCATTGAGTAATTTTGTATACTGCGTAAATGTGGAATTTACATTACCTGACCGAGTATAATGTTCACATCTTGTACGTGGGTTTAGATGCAACAATACATCACCTACAACTGTAGTTAAAGTAGACTCTAGATTTAGCATTTAACGATTTCTACCCGACGTTGGGCGTTGTTACGTAGACTGTTTCGCTATATCACAGCTCTTCAGTGTGGTTAGACGTCCGGTTGCATGTAGCTAGGATCCAAACCCGGCTGAATTGGCGTCAGTCGGAAATTCTACCACTAAGCCGTTGGCGCACGGCAGCGATGAAGGTGAATTTAATCGTATTTATTTATTTATTAATCGTATTTATGTGATTAACACATAGTGACCGAGAGAACTCGATTCCCTTTACCAAAGTATATAGCATTATTATCAGTAATCGTCACTGTTTACAAACTCACACTTTCTCCCCAGAGAGCTCAACCGAAATGATTTTTTCGGGAGCGTAGATATTATATATATATATACATATATATATATATATATATATATATATATATATATATGATTGTAAAAGATATCTTTCTTATATATTGGCGCACTTTATCAGGCAGTGATATATATATATATATATATATATATGTGTGTGTGTGTGTGTGTGTGTATTAACAGCGAGTGGCAACAGTTTGTTTTGTGCATAAACACAATCTTCAGGCCATGATATGAAGATTGCGTTTAAGTATGAAACAATGGCAGTGCCTTTTGGCAGATGAAGTTTTTAAAAAAAAATTTTCAAGCATGCACACACAGCGCTTTACGTTGAAGTTAGATTTAAGAAACTGTTTTCCTAGACAATGTTCTTTTTAATAATTTCACCCGAAGCAAGGTAATGAAGCCACTAAGACGTTACTGATAATGAATGGAATTGAGAAAATGCTGACGAGGAGAAAGGACAATAAAAAGAAAACGATTCGAGGGACCGAGGATGACGATTGAGGTTGCCTTTAAATTTCTGAAGCTCGTAGCTAACAGGAAGGTAAGAACCCAGAAGAGAATTCCACGGTCGAGAAGTGCGTGAGAAGGAACCATTAGAAAAGAACTTACTGTCACTTAAGTCTCATACACGACACACATTTGGGCGATCATGTCTCTTTCGATTCATGACTGACGAGGCAGGAAATGTTAACGCAGTAGGTTGTCGTTTCTTTATTCGGTAGACTGGTTGCCACCTCATCTTGTCCTGCAGCTCAGCCTATAGGTGGTGGTGGTGGGGGAGTTTGAGCGTAAGTGAACGTATGGAATCCGGTTGGAATACGAACTTAGCTCACTGAGTCGCGCAGATCCGAGTCGATTTTAACAGTAAAATGATGACATGTAGCTGGTAGACTAGTACTACGCTAAAATTCATGGAGACGACATACAAAAAAAAAAAAAAAAAAAAAACAGAAAAGACTCGAGGTGGTGGGGGGGCTACGTTACGCTGGTGGGAAACTGACTGAAGCTGAGATGCCAGATTAGAGCCGATAAGACTGCATATTTTTGGGGAATATTGTCGAGAATCTCGAAATATATATAAAAAGCAACAGACTAGATGTGATATTCATTCGTATCGGCAATGTTAACCGTTTCCTTATAAGGAAACATTGGGTGTTCAGTGACAGAGCAGCCGGTGTAACTAAATAAAAAAAAAATGATTTCTCTAAAACCGTTTTGCAGGAACATACGTTTCTCAATCCATTAAATTTTATCCTTCATTTATCTAGTGATGGGAGTTTCCTTCCTAACCTTTTGTTTGAAGTGGTGTGGAACGTCAAGAACTTAATAATAATTATTATTTTCTCTTCGTGTTAGCTATGCTATCTGTGTTAGCTATTGCCGTTGTTGCAAGTTCTCAAGTGATGCGGTTTCTGTTGTTTGACAAATTTAATTGTTTGCGATTATATAGCGCCATTCCACAAGGATCGAAGAAGGATGAACGATCAAATGGTCGACTTTTAAACACAAATTCGGAAAAATTGTCTAGCAAGATACAATGGTAAATGATTATTATAAATGATTCTTACTGAGTGATCTTTTTTTTAAAAATCAGTTTAGGTTGTGTCCACAGCACTTCACTGATAAATGTGTAAAAATAAACCTGTTTCAGATTGTACTCGTTGAGTTCCACGCTCACTAACTAGTCTATATTTGTATCCTTACTGCATACCGAAACTAATCTATAGAGAGTATCCAATTAAACTCATCTATAGAGAGTATCACATTAAACTCATCTATAGAGTGTATCGCATTAAACTCATCTATAGAGAGTAAAACATTAAACTCATCTATAGAGAGTATCCCATTAAACTCATCTATAGAGAGTATCATATTAATTCAGTCATGGGCAAACTGCGGCTGGCGGACCACCTGCAGACCGCGAGCCACATGCGGTTCGTCTGGTCTTTCTCAATGGCACGCTTATTTTCATAAGGAAAATAACGTTTCTTAAAATTTTATTTTATTTCATTCTCACTTGTTCACTCACACATTCACTCATGCATAACCACATACATAAACAATTATTAAGTACAATGGTTCTTTTGTAAAATTTCGGAGAAACAAACGTTGTCAGCATTTTAAACCTTTGGTGATTTTTGCTAAGGAAGATCATACATGCAATCATTTTTTTGCTTTTGAAATAGGAATTGTTCATAAGAATTTTTTCTCTAAAAAATGTTTTCGTTGTCAGATGAATAAATTTGAAATAAATAACACACAGCGACGTGTGATAATCACACAGTCATCAGTGATAATATTATACCAAGTCTTTAATTTTTTTACTTATAAAAAAATTTTTTCTAATAAATAAAATATTCTTACCATTTCAACCTATATGCTTACGCATATACTGTACTGTACTGATGCGGCATTCACCCTGGGCGGATTGAGCCGGCTTCTTTCTGTTATGAGAAGAAGATTCTTGGGATAAATTACAGAAGTAGGGTACCCAGGCCTACTCGGATAACGTTCTTGCTTGCCGTGGGGTTCCCACAGACGCAGAGACAGGAACGACCAGAAGCCGCCGGTTGCTGATGCAGACGCTCCTTGGATTTTCACCAGAGCCCTTGTTAGCCGGCGTGTGTGTCAGACCTGTCCGCCTTGGGTGGCCCTACCAGGAACGAAGTTCCGGGCAGCATTAGCTCTGACACTAGTTTGCCCATGCATGGCATGAAATATAGACAAAACGGGTTTCACTAGTCCATTAATGCTTACCGTAAAATCAGAGGTTAATTATAAGAATTGAAATAAAATGCGATATTCAGGATAAAACTGACTCAGATTCTCTAAAATTCTACAAATGCTTTACTGCTTCTAGGCTTGCTGCTTGTTGGAAATCCGCTTCTGTAGTCCGCCTGCCTTTGAAGACATAAGGTTTCCATGGCAGATTACTAAACTCAAACAATTCGCAAATTTCTAAGCCCATAACAAGTAATAGCATCTAAGCAGGC